AAGCCCCTGCATCATGAGCATCAGGTGGACCTCGCTTTGGCGGTTGGGGCCCCCGAAGCCCCTGCATCATGAGCATCAGCTGGACCTTGTTTTGGTGGTTGCCGCCCCCGAAGCCTTCGAAGCCCCTGCATCATGAGCATCAGCTTGACCTTGGTTTGGCGGTTGCCGCCCGAAGCCCCTGCATCATGAGCATCAGCTGGACCTTGCTTTTGCGGTTGCCGCCTTTGCCACCCCCGAAGCCCCTGCATTGAGCATCATCCGGGCATTGTGTTTTGGCTTTAAGCTGCTACGTAATCCCAGAAGAGGCAGCTAGCATCTTACATGACAGTCACTGCTTTGTCCAAGTGGCGTGTCAAACGGAGCAATCGCAGAAGGCGCAAGGTGGAAAGGCCAGACATGTCTGGCCCACCTGCAAGGCGATTCATTGTTAGCAGTAGAAGCTGAGGTAAAAGCAGAAGAACACGAAGAAGAAGTGGTGGTGGTGGTGGTGGTGGTGGTAGTAGCAATAATAGCAGCAGCAGCAAATTGTTGTAATGTCGTAGCCAGCTTGGCTGATCAAGACTTCATCATTTGTTAGAAGGCCCCTGCCATCGAATATCATTCTGCATAACCCTAGGAGCACACAGTTTATGACCAGCAAAGCTTGCCATGATCTTTCCTATTAGAATCTTTGTTCAGTTTACACCATGCGGGTAATACAGGCACAGCAGGTCCGGCCTGAACCCAAAAGCTCCACAAGCGGTAGAACCCAAGTCTCCAACACCATCAGGATCACCTCACAGTGCCGAGCTTTTTTCAAGTCGGCTTACTTGTGTAGAACCTTGGGATCTACAAACCTCACTGCATTCACAAACTGGCTTGTGGGACAGGGGTTGAGGTGGATAATCAGGTCCCCAAATGGGCTGAGACGTTTGCTGCAATTGAATTTTAGGTGTTCACATCCGACGACAGCTACTTGCCGTCAACAGCGTCACTATGAAGATGGGCAATTTTGGTCGTTGACCCTCTTCTTCGTGTCTCCAACCTACCGTACACCAGATTGTAGGCTGTGCAAAACGACTGCTGCCAAGTCACTAAAGCCAGGTCGAACATGAACCAAGGATCTCTACCTCCAGCATCATTCCACATTGTAGCTGTCAGTGCACTTCGGCCAATGCCGACGCTTTCATCCAACAAAAATACTGTTGAATTATCCTGCTTTCCCGGGGATTGTGCCATCTTCTTCCCTAGGAGGAGCGAGTAATGCGGCCAAGATGCAACAAGAATACCAGGGCTTGAAGCCAAAGAAGCGGATGAAGATCTCTAAGGTGAAATAACCTTAGTAGGATTGCAGCCTGAGACTAGTCACAGTAGCTTTTTTCTGCCTCTTGGCTGGTGAGGTTCCACCCAATGCCTTCAACTGAACTCGTCTCTTCACTAGCCAAACTAACGAACTTTGGCATGGAACGCAAAGAAATTGATTTATCTGAGCAGCAGCAAAAGCAGTTCTCCACAACTGTACTCCATGGGTCCAGAGGGAGCTTGCCATTCACTGTCAAAGCCACGTGGTTCCACTCCACATCCTTCCATCACGTAGGGCTTCACAACAAAAAGCATTTTCGGTAGGAAAATACAGAATCTTTTGCAAGTCGACCATCAAAAAACCCAAGACTCATCAAGTGCTGTACACCCTAGCTTTGTGCTTTGCCCAGGCTCAACGACCATCCACAAGGCATTGATCACGATTACAATGAGCGTTGCCGTCTCGAAGCATTTGTTGTCAGCTATCCTGCCATGAACGCAGTGGGTTCGCGCTTGTGGCCCTTTCCAATACCGGAACCCAACAGACTAGCACACAAATCTCCACGTTCATCGGAAGTGTCAGACATGCTGGCTTCACGAATAGGTCCCACACAGCCCTTCAAGTGAGCGTCTTTGCTGCTAGATAAGTGGAAAACATTTCCGGTGGGGAACTTCATCCTTATCCATATAGCCCATTCCTCCACGCCCTGCTAACCAGCAGGAAGGAAACCATGTCCTTGCCAAACAACCTATCTTCACCTCGTTCTTCGCCCCGTTCTTCTCCTCAGCTTATGGCTCTAACACAATGTGTTTAAGGCATCATGAGGCACAAAAGCACGCAACAAAACACGTGGGTCTAGATGTCCAAGAAGAACATCAAGTCGGCTGTACAAGAAGGCCGCACAATGTGTGGAAATGACGAGGACAAAGCCTTCAAACACTTATCATTCTTGTGCAAGCTGCTTAGGGGTGCCCTTCAAAAGAACTGCCACAGAATCCTTTTTAGGGACCCCCCCAAAAACTCCTTTTGATCCCACTGCAGCCTTCCCAAAGGCACCAGAAATTCCATTACCTTGAGCTGCCTTGCCTGCATGGTTATCTTGGGCCCCAGCTGACTGCCGGTCTGGCAAAGTGACTACGCCTGCAGCTCATGCCCAGCCCATGAGGGAGGGTCTAGAACCCTGATAGATTTCAGCCAACTACTCAATGGTAGTATGAGGTACCACAAAAGGGCTTCTACTTTTTAGATCCTCCTGGAGGGCTCACGGGAGTTCAGTCAGCAGCAGCAAGGCATCCCTAAGCTTGTTTGGAAGATTCGCAAATTATGGCTCCTACCACTTCCTCCTGACTCTCGCAACAGGATACTACACCTTGTGCAGCCGCAATCCCTCAAATCCCGCAGTATCAATCCCAACAAACCTTTGGCAGTGAGTGCCCCTGTTCCCTGTGGGCCGCTCCTGCCATAGCTGTGGTGCAGAAAGCTCTGTTCAATACAGATCCTCGCGATGTAGAAGGCTTGAAGGATTGGTTAAAGAATGCTTCCAACATTTTTATTTCTGCAGCCCTCTGCCAACGTTTATTGCTTGCACCCTGAGCTGAGGCCTGAGAGCTCATCCTCCATGCTGGTGGGGGCAGGCTCGACATTTCCGGCGCGGCCTTGGCAAAGACTGAAGTTTCAAGCAAGATTACTCGGAATAAGCATGGGCTTGCACAGTCGCATCATCATTTCGCCGTGTGCATGTACATGTGTACGCATCTGTTACGCACCAAGGTAGGAAATCTTCATGATGATCATGAGCATTAACGGAACATTGTTTCAATGCCCAGGAGGAAAGATTTGCACCAGCAAGGGCAAATTAAGGCAGAAGCTCTCACAGGTCTCTTTGCTGAGCGGACTGCGCTGCCAACCATTGGAGGCACATAGCTCAGCTCTTCATGGTTTGTGCTGCTGGAGCATTTGAAGGCTGGATTCCTAGCTGCTCTTATGTCTACCACTTGCAATGCGTACACCTACATAACCACTAGTTAGAGTGTGGGCTTTGGATTCGTTTGCCTTTGGCTGACCCTGCATGCAGCCTAAGCTTTAAGTCTCAGCATGTCATGTCTGCCCTCGAGCCGGACCACTCTGTGACTTGAAGAGATTTTCTCAGGCTGCTGCTTCCAGAGTGGGGGGAACTAGTAACTAGTACAACGACCCAGGCTTAGCACGCAAGAGCTTCAGGTTTGGGGGCTATTCAAAGAACAACTAAATGTGCGTTCTACTTCGACAGCAAGGATCATTGCTGTGAGGAGTATGAAGGTCACTCTCAGGCCATCATCCTCATCATGTGTTTCCTGCCAGTGGCTACTAAGCACTCCTCTTCTCCCTCCCAGCGCATCAACCACAACATGTCGTCACGATGATGACTACGACCATCATTATAACCACCCCAACTACACAGCAGGACGTAATTGATGTCATCGTCTGACTAGGGCAACTGTGGATGAACTTTCCCAGCCAGGAGGCTATGTGACCCTCCTCGTTCTCCTTGATGGTGACCTGTGAGCTAAGGACAGCTTCAAACTAATGTTGCATGAGAGCCAGAAAGCAGTTATGCCGAACTGTCCTGGGATATAGATTTGTACACTCCTGTAGCCATCCTAGACCCTACCAAGCTGCTGCTATCTTGCTACTACCACCCGGGGCATGACAAATAGCTTAAACCCTCAGCCATCCCTACTAACACCTTGACCCAAAACTGCTATGGTTACAGTGCCTCTGGAGGCTTCGCCATCTTGGAGATCAGTACCTGTCGCACCTGACAGGTTAGAACGCTTTTAGTAGTCCCGCGGCCCTCTTACAACGAAACCCCCGTCCTGCTACTATGACGGAATATTTCGTATTGGAGCCAGGGGCAGTTTAAAGCAGGACGGGGGATTAAGAAGCGTAAAAGCACGGCATCAGAAAACTTTACGGACAAAGGCCGATGAGGGAATCATCACCATGATCATCGTGCGCGACTGGCGTGACAGTGATTTTGCTACTCTTTCTTTTCTATACTGATTGCTGCACTACCTTGAACCTACATCCCCCCAAACCAACTCCAACCCTCCAAATCCACTCTTTAGCCCCTGAATGGGAAATGCTCCTTAAGAGGCGAGTTAATGGTTATTCCTAAGCCCTATATCGCCCTAGGCCTCTGCCAGGACTGGAGCGTAAAGCTTCAGCTTCTGGTCCCGGCTGTTGTCGCGCTGGCTGTCCATTAGCAGCCTTGTTTGCGGAGTCATGATGCTTAAGTTCTTTTGTCCGAGATTGCTGCTTGTGGCAATCAGACCTATCTTCCTCTTACTGGGTCAGGACGCTCAAGCCAACATTAGATGCCATGAAACATTGTTGAAGGCCTAGCACTGCTGTTGGCAGCTACGCTGCGAAGTGCCCTCGCTGATCGCTGACAATACGAAAATGCTCACCCGGCCGCCCAACAAGGGATTCAGGCAATCTTTGATGGATCAAGTTCCTGCATGCACTGGCAGCCCTCTTTGCCCAAACACCCCATTGAATTTGCCTAATGCGCCCTATAACCAGAACCCCAAACCGAAACTGTTTACTTACTTGGTCAAGTTGCGGTGATTGCATGTGGCCCAGCTGGGGTGCTTGATTCTCCAGGTAGACTCGCGCACCTGGGCATCAAAATTGACATGCTCCCGGGTTTCCTCAAAGGACTTTTGGGGGGTATCCTAAAATGGGCACCGGCTGTACTATAGAGGGCGTCTCAAAGATAACACCCCTTTATGTGGGGATTGATTCGGAATTTGTCCCGGGAAAAGCGGGTTTGCAGAACAAATGAGTTTGAGCTAGGGGAGCTACCACTGCCATGTAAAAGGAATGCGGAGCATGAGGCACGCGAAGCAGCAAAGCTGTCCGATTCAAAACGAGGCTTTGGCTGAAGGTCTGCCAGAACTCGACGCAAATTTTGAAGGTCTCCTGGCTCGCGGATCAGGAATAGCGCATGCTGCATCATAACCTACAGTACCAACACCCAGGCCCAAATCCAAGGTACCTCCACGAAGACGTGCGGGGTTTTCAACGCGACATGCTGAGAGAATTATCGAAGGCCCCCTCCAGGGAGTTCAGGAATCGTTTTGAGCAACTCCCTCACGGTTGCATGCGTGTCTTGGTGCAGTAGGCTCTCCTAGCCGAGAAGCAGCTTTCACTGCTTTGCATGCAGCACAGATCTCGAAGCATGTTGAGCCAACCCTCGACTCTAGCCATGTCTGTCTGCCCCTGGCCCCTTGGCCGGCAATCCTCGTTGGGACCCATGCAAATCCTGCGAAGACAAGCGCTCTTCGGGCTGAAATGCTTCTGCTGGAAGGCTGCGTGTCATGCCAGCGCACCTCACCAAATAATTCAGCGCCGGGATCATGTACCTGCTCTGAGCCTCGTCAGGGTTGTGAAGTCACATGTGCTCGTGGCACGTGATATCCCAAGATTGGGAGGCTTCCTCAGGAGTCCCGACAAGCATCAGAGGAGAAGACACACCCTCTGTTTTATATGCAGCATACTCTCTTCTCCTGATCTTGAACACACCCATACTCTTGCTTGTCCTCATGTTAAAAGCTTGGGACGACATCGCTTGGGTGATTAGAGAATTCATGTCTTATAGGAATGGCCACGTGTCTAGAAATCGGGAACCGCAAGGCCTTTTTCCATTCAGTGCTTGGGATCATGTCAGCCCAACCCTTTTGAACCAGGACCCTGAAGCCTGAACCCTAAACCGTAAATGCCCCAACTCCGTGAAGGGAGGCGTTCTTTCGAGGCCTCCATGGCGGCCATGTGGTGCTTCAAAAACCCAGTCAGAAGCAAGGCCACCTCCAGCGGCACAGGAGGGTGGAGCAATCTAAGGGATCTGGGTATTTAAGAAGGTGGAATTTTGTAGGGCATCTAGGGGTATAGAAGGGAAATGACCCCAAACAAATTCGAGAAGGTGGAGTTATGTAGGGGGTCTGGGGCCAACCCTCATTCCTAAACCTCCAGAAGCTGCTAATGGAAAGAAACATCGGAGACATTTGTATGACTCTAAAATCGAAGAACGTCAGTGAACTGCAGTCTATTCGTTGATGACGCGGGGCTGCCTGGCTGTATAGCCTCCCTTAAGTAGATATAATATGGGATATATATAGGGATCTTACTATGACATACTCATAGCCATACTCTATCTCTTAAGGTGGACTATATGATAACGATGACAAACATGTGGAAGCTTAGCCTGCATTGTACTGGTCTCATGCTTCTTTGTTGAGGAGGGTTCCTCGCCCAACAGCTGGACCTGGCATCATCAACCCTGCAAAGTAAATCAAGAAGCAGAAGACGGCCAAACCGAGAACCACAATATTCTGCCTATCTATCTGAGAGTTTTGTCGGACAGTACTAATTGAAACTTACT